TGCGGCCCTGCAGCCGCCGTCGTGGATGCAGCATGCGGTTAGCACTGCCGGTGCCTGCAGCGGTGCCTCGAACCTTCCAAGTGAGAGCCAACTTTGCTATCAAGGCACGTTGCTGGTAGAGACCCTCAGTGTCCGCGTCCTGCAGCATACGGCAACTGGCGGAACGGTCAACATGAAGGTGCCAGCGGCATGTATTTCAGTCTACAACGTAAGAACATCTAAGCATCTAAGCTTTAAGTGATGTCTTTTTGCCGTGAGCTGCTGTGAGCTGCTGTGAGGCTGTGGGTCCAAAGCAGGGCGAATGCAAAGGCGCCGTGTTCGCAAAGTCGGGCTCCGAGCTGACCATCCAGGATGCTACTGGCTGCGGATTGGATGGTGCCGACTACTCTGTTCAGTATTGTTCAGATCAAGATCAAGTTGTTGTCCATTTCATCACGCCCATGAAGCTGGACGTGGCTTTGGACAGGGCCAAGTGTGAAACAAGCCTTGCTTAATTAGTGGTATTTTCCTTTTGTTCTCACGTCACATGGCCAGACCAGCCGAAGAACGTGTTGGCTGATTGCCATACTCTAGACTCTACACTGTCACTGCCAAATCGTAGGTTCTTATGCCTGGAGAAAAAATGTCACGGACCTGCCAAGCGTGATGCGAGCAAGTCCATAGTGACATGCTGCTGCATCGCCCAGTACTCCGCTTGTGATTTGGGTTCATTTGTCTGCGGCCGTCACACGAGACAGCCTTTCGCTGTTTTTGAGCTGCTCCCAGTTTCTGTATTGTTTTGGCAATCTTAAAGGACCTGGTGATGGCTTGCAAAGTCAACAGCCTGCAAATCACAAGTAACGCATCCCAGTGTAAGGATAAGAATCACGAACAGACAGATGGGTACAAAGGGTCTGGCAGCTTGCAGCCCGAGTATGCGGAAGATCCGCTGTTTGACATTGTAGTGGCGTGCTGTGCGAGGGGCAGCAGGATCAAAACTAAGAGGCGCAAACACAAGAGGGCTTCCCAAACTGAGGACGAATGAGGATTTTGACGGTGGGCCTTCCTTCATCACCCGGTTTCAAAACGTCGTTCAACTGCTTGATGGTTCGTTGTCGACCTTCAGAGTTCCAAGCAAATGTGAAAAACACAAACAAGGCAAGCAAAAGACTACAGAGCTTGCCAGGCCTCCTCAGCCGCCCCAGGCGCACCAACACCTACATGTGAATGATGCTCTTCTCGCGTGTTCTCCCACCATTCCCACCGAGGGGGTCCTAAGACGTCCTGGGAGCACATGTGTCAGGAGCTGCAAACAACTTCCCAATTGTTGTTGCTGGCGCCTTCAAGGCTCTAAGCACTGGCTGCCCAGACCTTTCTTCGCTAGCGGATGGTCGTTTCTTCGGGGCCATTGCGCTGTTGGAAGACACTAAAGCCAGCTGCACGCAGCCAGCCCCTCACATGGAGAGAGGCTGTTCACGATGTTCACGGAGACTCCACGAAAGCTGATACTCCGATAGTACACTGGGGTGCTGTTAAGGAATTTAATCTAAGTTACTATATTGGGGAAACCATAATGATTACTACTGGTATATATGTATACCCATTACGGTACCTCAATTTAAGTTCCTTAACAGCAACCCAGTACAGGCTTCACGGAATCAGGGCGCTCCAGCAATTGCAACTCCCCTCTTCAGCCTTGACCTCGCCTGCTCGCTCCGCCAGCCATCTTTTGGCCTGAATGTGCTGCTGGAATCGACGTGCTGGCAATCTACTGGTGCTGGTGGTGGTGCTGGTGGTGGTGGTGGTGGTAGTATAATAATAGTAGTAATAATGATGATAATAATGAGTACGTTTCCTGCAGCACGGCTCAACGAGCAGTGTTTGGTACAGCCATGTTCCTCTACAACATACGGAGTTGATGACAACCTCTTTTGAATGTTCAGATCGGGGCCATTTGATTTTCTGCAACGTATTGTACTCGCGGTCGACATGGTCTAACTCTCACTTCGGAATGTTGACTATGTATTGTTGATTTGCTACCATGACTGGGCCAATGTTTCTAGCACGCAGAACGCAATTTCACAATTCTTTTCATGGGCTACGCAGCTCTTGCAAGCGATGGACCGCCAAGATTTCGAACCTGGCGACCACATCATCAGACGACGTTTTGGTGTTCAGCATGCATTCGGCAAATCAAACTAGATGAGCAACCTGTGGGCAATGTTTTATTTCCTTGCTTTTGCCATAGGTTATGACCATCATGCAATATTCGATGGCTGGGCCAATGCTACGGAAGCCTACGTGATCCATCATCCTGTAGGGAGGCGAACGAACCCGCCATCGCCTAAGTCACAGGGAACTGGATCTCGAAAAGCTGCATATGCCAACCTTGCTCTGCTTGGAGGTTGCGTGGTCAAATACGGCATGAGCTCCGAGACGTTTCCGAATATGCTTTGGTAAAGCGGCCACCTAACCCAGCTGCAATCTCAGAGTGCATGTGTGAAATTAAGTTTCTCATGGCGGCTTGTATCGATAAGGACCAAGTTCTGGAAAGAGCACATTCGCGAGTGGGGGAAGCTGGCTACAATGTGGTCTGGAAAAATTGTGAGCACTTTGCTGCCAGGATCTTAGCATATGTCAGCAACATTCTTGTGTCTGCCGTATGAGCCCTGGATCATGTTGAGGAATGGTGCATATCTGGTAACCACAGGCCTTGAGATACAGTTGGGAATGTTTTCTCATGGCATGCTCCCCTTGCGCTCTGCGAAAGGTCTCTACAGGTTCGAGGTGCCTTGCTAGGCGCACCACAAGGGGCATGTGCTGGAGCCATGATGGGAGCAGCTTTGGTCCCAGCCGTATTAGGCTCAGTTTGTTGGAAGCATTTGGGATAGCGCTGACATTAGTGTGGATGCGCGAAACTAGGCCACTTTCTGGGGAAGTCCGACATTAGGAAAGGCCTGATGCTGTTGTAGTTGGCTTGAGACATCGCTAGAGTCATTGCTCTCTTTGCATTCAGTACGCCGTGGCGTTGGGTGTCATGGCTGCTCCCGTGAAATGGCCCGCGATGGTTGATGCCTCGGATGTTCTGTGTGACAAGCTGCTGCTGCTGCTGCTGCTGCTGCTGCGGCTGCGGCTGCCTGGAACGTTTTTGTTCCGCTCTTCTTGGCCGGATTACACAAGATGCTGGTCTATGATAGTAGGTGGAACGTCGCCCAAGCAAGCCAACAAGAAAATGCTGCTGGGCATTGAAACGCAACACACAGAGGCGTGGAGATGAGCTTGAGCAAAGCAAAGAAAATTAAAAGAACCCCCACCCATTAGTATTCTGAATCGTCTGACAGGGCCCTTGACAAGCAAACTCGCTCATGTCGTGACGTATGGACCAAAACAGGCAACCCACAATTTTTCAGGTAGGGCTTGCCATTGTGGTGCTGGCAACAGCAGACTGCACGGGCAAACCAGCCAAAATGTCAATCCCCCAGATGCAAGGTATATGGCAGGTGTCACAGCTGTCTCCCGACGAGTCTTGTTCCTCCGTGCCAGTGTTCGGGTTGCCGCAACAAGGTAGAAAGTAACAGGAACGCAATCTGTAACGTCTCTCCCTGCCCCAGCACTATGCTGCCCGTGCCTTGCCACTGTTCAGTTTTCTTTCCTTGAGACGCCTACTTGTAGCCTGTTTCGGGCCATGGTGGGCTATATGCTTGATGGCGCAAGAGGTGGCGTGTTCATGCCACAATTTTTGAGCGGCCTTGTGCAGACGTTTGGATCGTCTTCTGACGATAATGGCAGAGGAGGTGCCGGAGCAACTTCACCCGACTCCTCGATGTCGTGTTGTGGACCACCATGTTGTTTGCTCACTCTTGCTGCACGCATGTCAAACGAGCCCCGGTAGAAAGCAACATCATAATGGCGAGAGCCATTTACGTGACAGTATGAGCAGCGAACGTCGACCTGCGCTGTGCTGTGTTGCACAAAGTAAGCAGCAGGTGTACTTGCGAAACCCAATTGTCGTCCAATGGTTGCAAAGGTTCCCTTGCAAGAGCATGGACCAGGAATTATCGCAGACCCTTGTTCCAGCTTGCAACACGCGCCACCTTGCACCTTGGTGTTTGCTCCTCTCTTGCCCGCATGGTTTGGCCCCAGCGTTTCCACGCGGCCCGACAAACATGATTTGTTGAAAGCTGTTGTCTTACTTCTTTAAATTGCTGGGCGAGTTCCTCGCAAGGAAACGCAGGGACAACACACATGTTTTTGTCGATCCTGCCTGCCATTCCTTCCCACAGAGAATCACTGCAGCGGGAACACAAATATGAAAGCGCATGCAAAGAAACACGCAGAGGACAACAAAAACGTCGGCCATCTTTGTCACCTGCGGAGCGATGCATGGTAGTACTTGGCCATTTGGGAGTGTTGCTTTATCATGCTTGCCATGCTTTCCCTGTGTCCAATATCCTTGCAATCCCAAACTTGCAGGTTGCCATGGCCATTGTTGCTTACGTGCACTTATTTGCTACGTGCATTGCCGCTTTCTCCCATAGCAGCCTTTGCCCATGAGCATGACGAGGCGGCTCTTGCTTTTTCACGGCTGTTGGCCAGTTGCGCATCCCTGTTTTTTGGGTGTCGGCGGAGTTGCTCTGGTACTGTAATGTGCTGCCCAGAACATCCGCCTCAAAGTTGGTATTTTTTTCTTCGCTGTTTGAGCGCGTGCGCGGGCCGAAGAAACCGAAACCGCTTGGAAAATTGAGAGTGATAGACTAGTTGAGACGTGCCCGAGGTCCTTGACTATTGAATGTCGTGCTACGCTTTGGCTTCTCAGGACCCATGACAATGCCGCACTGAACCCCTTTCGCCATCCGGGACTCCCAATAGACCCCAGCAACCGAATTGTGTTTTGTCCGGGCCACTCAGCATCTCCGAGAAAGTGCGATGACGTGGTTGCTGATTTCTCCGGGCAAAACTGTTGAGATTCAAGAGCAACGTCTCCTTGTAGAACGTTTACGAGCGAAACAATCAGTCCGTCGGTCAGTTAGTGAGAGACTCGGTGAATCAGTCCGTCCGTCCAGTCCGTCCGTCCATCCATCCATCCGTCAGTCAGTCAGTCAGTCAGCTCCGTCAACCTGCACTGCCTGGAACTGGGTTCCTAGCCACGCAATGCGGGTGGACCAACTCACGGTCCTCTCCCACTCGCTGCCGCCCAGCGTGTTGCAACAGCCATGCAATAAACGCAGGATGTCGGTTCCGGGGTGTGAACACGGTGTCTGCCCAGAGGCCCAATGCGAACCAAGGCCGGCGCGGATTCGCAACACGATCATCCTAGTGCGCATCAAACTAAATTGCTTGCAATTGACTGCTTTTGTGGCACGGCGTGCAGCTGGTCGTGGATGGCACCGCCAGCTCGGCTCAAGGTTTCAGTGGGGGAGCGGTTTTCTACATGTCGGCTGCGCGAGCTGCCCTTTCAGGCGTTGCTCATCTTGCAGGGTGAGTTTCTCCTAGTAAAGTTTGAGAAATTGGGAACGTGCAGGAGCCTCGCCCGCGGCAGCAGCCCCATCCTTGCAGCAGGCGTCGGCTGACTTGCAAACGGCGCCACGCATAGCCCTAGATCGCGCGTGCACGGCACCTTCTTACTAGGCAGAGGGCTTGTCAGGGGGAACCGGAATCCGACGTGCAGGCCGAAAAGGCCGAAAGAAGAAAGGAGCAAACACATGCCATTGAGGCAAGTGAGTGAGTGACACCTGCAGGCCGACAGGCCGCCCCTTTGGGTCGCAGATGGAGGCAGGTAACCAGTCAAAAGGGCAACTGAAATTGTAACACTCGCAACTTAAAGCTACACCTACTTGACGCCATGAACCTGGACATCGTGCTGTACAAACGCGCGGAAAGCAGCAAGATGTTCCCCTCAGCTGCTTGCATGCTGTGTGTGGTCCATCCACCCTTCCCACCCCATTGTTTGCGCAAACGCCTCCAACTGTAAGGCCCAGGAGTTTCGAGGCCGACCGCGACCGCGAGCTCCTGGAGGCAGCCATTCCAAAGCGTGTTTGACCCATCTGCTGGATGGTGCAACTCACATGACGAGCAAATCTCCAATGATGCTTTAGACAGGCTTCGAACCAGCTCTGCATCTGAGTAACAGGCGATCATATGCGATCACATATCTGTTGTTTCCCAGATCGTGCGCGAAGCTCCGCCCGGCCATGTCACTCAGAATTGCCTTCACATCCATCAAGGGTCAGGTCAGGTCACCTCGCGGCCTTTGAGAGCACATGTGGTCGAAAGTGAGCAGCTGCCAACGTACGACATTCTGGAGTTTGTTTTTTCGGTTCTGACTACAAAATTTGCAAATTCAAAAAAATGGCTCAACGGTTCAACCACAAACCAGGATTTTGGGCGATCGCTACCCAATCATCCCAACCTTTCCAGCAAGTAAACATGTCCAAGGTTGTGTTCCATGAATGTCTTGGCCTGACCTGCACCCTGGGCCAGGAGCTCCTGCGAAGGTGAATCAGGCCCGCCAGCACTCTTTTTTTTTTTTGCTGGCCAGGCGCGAGTTCAAGAGGGATGCTGCGAAGGCTCAATGCGCCACAAGCGCCAGGATGCCGCTCCACCGCAATACCCACGCACGAGTACAGAGGGGTGCAAGGACCGCCGCCGCAAAGGCGCAAGCAGGAAGTCGGACAAATGTTGGTCTCTGGGGGTCAACTGCTGCTGACCTCAGCTCCGAAAACGACCAAGTGCTGCCCAGCACGGCCGACACGGCAGGTGTAGATGGGCTGGACTGGACCAAACATGTCATGCAGGCAACACAGTCCGTGAAAGAAAAAACAAGTTTCGGAAAAAGAAAACCAAACTTGCTCATTTGCATTACAATAAAATTACGGCACATTTTATGCCTTCTCAAAATCGCACTTGGCGAAAACCGTGCGCGCTAATACCACCAGATGCTTCCATGACAGATCGGCGGAGAGAGGCATGTTGAACGGCAGCTGCGGAAACCGGCCAGCCGTTTCCCAATGTCAGCCTAGGCAAAAATGCCAAAATGACAAGCATGGTGCAGGATAGGCGCCCGGTTGACATTTGCTCCAATAAAGTCCAAAGTTTAGCGTCCTCCGCTTGACCGAGCCGCTGCCCGACGCGGTAGGACTCCCAAACCAGAATACGCGTCCAGAAGGGCAAGATCCACTGCCACGTAGAGGCAAGGGACGTCAATAATTCTGCTTTAGTGCCTAGATTATAAGCTATAAGCCGTAAAAGTTTCGAGGGTACTGGGACAGGGAATAATGGGGAAATTTGGGGAGCAGAGGCACCTCGCGAAATGGTTGTCGCTTTTAAACAAATGTGCTACGGCCTATGCATGGAAGACGGGAAAATACGGGAAAAACCGACCCGAAAACAAACGCATGGCCATTCGTGTCAAAAAAAATCATTCTGCTTTTGCCGCCCTCTCATCTGTCTCATTTTGTTTTCAGCTCCGTATTTCTCTCCCTGTTTTCCTGTGTTCTTCATTCATCTCTCTCATCCCTTTGGTCTCCTTCCTCTCATTCATCTCTTTCCTCTCTGTAGCCGGTGGCATTGTTGTAACATGTGTATGCGCATTTGGTGATGGACTCGCCCCCCAGCATTTCTGCATTTCTTGGACGGCCACGTATTGGCTTTTTCAAATTGATGGACTCGCCTTTAGGAACAGATGTTCGCATGACGTTGTTCGAAGAATGCAAACTTGTGTAAGAACATCAGCCACCTGTTGCCGAACACCTGTCTGCCCCAGCGCCCGGCAGAACTTCAGAGTTGGGAATGGGAAAATGGTTGAAGAAACAGTGAAGGATCTTCAAAATCCTGCGCCAAGCATCCTGCTGGAAAAGCATCCGATTTAGCTCATATATCATTGTTGTGCCCTAAAGGGGCCGCCTTCGGGCGTACAGGCGACCTGACCTTTACGGGAAATGCATGCGTCAAAAATGCGAACCACAAGCAGCGCTGCCGAGCCGGCTGCCGCTTGGCTGGGTATCGCTAGACAGTTGTATGCCTGCTCTCGTGTGCGTTGCTGGTGGGGTGAGCGGGGATCATGCTGGGATAGGTGGCGAGGAACATAGCGTGGAAAAAACTGGGGATTTGAAGTCCGCATATGCCAACCCGAAATGACGGTTGAGTTCAGGCGCCACGGAACCGTTCGCAGCGAACAAAACGTCCAGGTACAAAGTGAAAAAGGAGTCATTGCAATCAACAAATCCGCATTCTAGCTTTAAAATTTGTACGTCGCATGGAATTGGCAACGCAACCGCAGCTCTCGCAATGCACTCCATATCAGCCTTTGCCCTCGAATCATCCAGCGCCATGATGATGGGATCGTCAGCATAAATGCCGACGTCCAGCCTGCACAGTCGCGCCGGCGGCCCGGCCAAAGCCGCGTGATGCTGACCCCGAACTCAAACGGCCTGGCATTGCTTTCAAGAAATGATTGCATATGCAGAGAAACATCGCAAACCAGCACCATGGATAACCGCAATTGATACAAGGGGCACCTTTGCGAGATACCGAGCAGCTGATTGCGCACTTGTGAATGGTATCCGCCCGTCTTACTTGTAGCAATGAATCATTTGTGCAGGTAGATTTTGCCAACAACAGCTATGCTTGGCGAAGCCGAGGGTTTCCTGCAAGGCGAAGTCGCCCCCACGCAGACTCACGAGGGAACCCCGGTTTACTTGCCACTAGATGCGCTGGCCTTGTGCGATGCCGGACCACCTCATTTGTCGTTGCTTGACGTGCCGCGTTTGCATGTTGCTGCAGACAGGCTCTTTGAGTTGCACCCGCTCGCATGCGACCTGTGGGCTGTGGCAATAGCGTTCCGCGTGCCTGCGCACGCCCGCCGTTAGTCCTCACCACGGTCGACAAGGTTTTGGCAACGCTCGGCGACGGGGATCTCACAGAACAACTGCAGCATCCACTCCTTGCCCACGCTCCAGGACGCGCTGGATTTCCTGCGAGCGGCAATGGTGCTGCTGCAGCCGGAGCATGGGTGCTCATGCTGCTTGCCCCCGGAACTTGGGTCAGGCTTGTTATGGAATGGTTTCCACTCCACACTCGCGTGGGTGCACACCACTTGAAGCCTTGGATGGGAAGACAGGACGGCATATGCCCAACATTCCCGAGACGGGCAACGTGCATGTGATCCCTTGTTAGCTTTGCATCTCAGTGACGTGCAGCACTCGTACAACCAATGGTCAATTCGAGTTTTGCTTTGCGCTTGCGCCTCTAATGCGGTGATTAGCGTGATCCGTTTGCCAGCGTGCTCCAATGGACGCCTGGCGGCAGAACTGGCAGAGCTAGCCCTCGCCGAGCGTAGGCATTTGCGGGCTGGCATCAGAATCCGCCATTTTCCCATGCTAGGCAAGTCCTTACGGCAGTTGCTCTCGAGCCTGGCAATGCCGCCGCAATCCGCCGCATGGCCCGCGCTTATTGACCCATTGCGGCGCCATGCGGCGCCCACCTCACGCGCGCCCAGTCGACGGCGGAACTGCTTTAGCACGAGCCCGTGCAGCCCGTTCAACTTTCAACCTACACGGTGGCGAGCGCGCTACGGGAGGCGCAGCGCGGCGGTGCGGCCGGCCTGTCAGGCATGCTGAAGGAACACGAAAAAAATGTTGTTGCAGGATCTGGAGGCACCGGAATTGCTTGTTAAAACACCCACGCACTTGGCTCAGGCGCAAGGCCCGCCAAAGGTTGCAGCCGGCTTCGCCATGGCGCGGCCCAATGGGCTGCGCAAGCTGGTCGGCTTTTGGGCATGGACACACCGTCACCATGTGTCTGGGTTGCGAACTGTTGACCAGCTGCCTGATGATTTTTTTTTGCATTTGCGTTTCTCGCCGCAACACTCGTGCAACATTGTAGCCCCGATGTCAGCCCATATGCACTTCATGGCTGGCGTGTGCCAGGCCCAGCGGTCATTGCTGGAAGGCATGAATCTGTGAGATGATGTAGGGTATCTGCACGTTTGTATCTAACGTGTTGTTTCGCTCTGTAAACACTGACCGCAAGACGGTTGTTTCGGGACTCATGCTCTCGCTTCCTGTTGTCGCGGACGCACGCGAAGAGGTGGACTAACACATTCGATCGTGCAACCCGTCTCTTCCAGAGCGCATTTCCGCGAAAGCAAAGACGCACTGGCCGCCCAGGTTCGTGCTGCGTTATCCCTCCGGCCCGACACGGTCCCTTTTTTCCCCTCACGCCCTTTTCCACCATCGCTCCTGGTCGCCAAAAAATCGTGAAGGAGGCCAGCCGCTCACCTGGGCGGGGGTCGGCTGGCCAGCATTGGGTGCTCCCAGCGGTTGTCAGCAAGGAACCCGTGGGGCTCTGGCACAACATCTTCGCCGTCGCCTCCGCTTGCGAGCGGGAGCTCGAGCAGGGAGCTGGCGTACCCCCGCTGCGCGGCAACGGCCAAGCGCTGCCAATCGGGAAACCCACGTGGATTGGGTTGCCGTGCACGGCCAGCCCAGCATTGCAGCAACGCGGTGCTGTGCGGAGGAATGTTGCCGCCTCGTCACCGAAACTGCCACAACCTCCAGGCCGGCAAGCTTGAAATTACCTCCAGGAGTGCGTTGTTGCCAGAGCGTGCGATGAGCGCGCGTGCCTGACCTGTCGCCTACGTCTCGGGCGCTGCGCTCTCACAGTCAGGGCTGCATTTTGCCAGGGCCCTCACCGCGTTGCCGGGCCATGAGGCCATCGTCATCCCCAGCGCCCACCTCGGCATCCTCTTGCTCTGTCGCCTGTGCTTGCCGCTGCCGCTTGCCCCGTGCACAGGCCGATGCCGAGGGCCGCCTCGACCCACTCGGGGATCACCGGTCGCGCTGCGCCACCTCTGTCGTCCTCGCGCCGTCGTTTACCGGGGGGCTGGTACCACGGTTGCGTGCAATGTGCGTGTAGCTGACATGAACATCGATGTGCCCGTCGTTGATGACAGGGTGACAGGTGCATTGAGGTTGTCGTGTGGCAGGACGCGCCGCTCGCGGTCGATGCGACGCTGATCTGACGCGCAACGGCGAGCCGCAGACCCGAGCCGATGTCGAGCCGGGGCGTGCCGTCGCCAGTCGTGGCCACCAGCATCACCAGCCCGCACGCGTTGCAAAGATTGAGCCGCGGCAGCGGCCGACTGGACAGGCTGCTGCCCGTCAAGGGCCGAAAAGGAACCCACCGGCGACTGTGGGGGCCCGGGCGTGAATGACCGGCAAGGTGTCACACCAGGATCACCAGGATACCCAGTGCGCGGCATGGCGGTCAGCTCGGGCAGAGCGGCGGCCTCGGCCACCATGCCTGCATTGGCCGACCACGTGGCGTGGTGGTTTTCTTGAATGGTGTCCTGTGCGGCCTTTCTCTTCAAATTGTGCGAGGTTTCGCCAGAGCTACCCCTCTATGCCCGCATGTTTTATGGCCAGCCATCCACGTATTGCTGGCGGGACAATGCAAGGCGCCGCCGACCTCGTGCGAGACAAGCGGTCGCAAGCACGGCGCTCGGCTGCGCGTGGCCAGTGCCACCCCACCCGAACAGGCTCGCCACCCAAGAGCGTGCTCGAGCTCACCGAGTCGACTCCCGCTGAGAGGCGTGTAGGGTGGCAAAAGCAGCCGGTAACCCGGGGCGGATGGCGAACAATTGGTTGGAAAAAAGAATCCCCCGGGCAAAGCCCTTGAAGTCGGCGATTTTCGTACGGTGTTTTTTCCCATTGTTATTTTCCGCGGGTTGCCATGGGTGGCTGATTATATGGGCCGGGCTGGCGTGCTGGTCAGCTGCCTCGTCTGCGCTGACTCTCGCGTCCTCTCTGCTCGCCAGGTCGCCGCATGCATTGCGCACGTGCTGCGGCTGAGCCCCTGCATATTGTACGCCGGGCTTCGCGCCCTTGAGCCTGGCCACGGCTGGGTGCCCTGCGAGCAAGGCGATGCCCGCGCACCAATTTTTTTTAGCTTTCACGCAGCGCGAAACCCTGGGATTGCACTTTGCCACGTGTGCTGCGGAAAGGTTTTTTTAAACAGGCAACCTTCCTTGCACGCGTCCTGCAGAAGGGTTTTTTTGGAGCGAGCGATTTCGGCATGCGAGCTCAAAAGGAAAGGGCGCCTTTGCACCAGCTGTGATTGCATCCCTTCTTGCTGCTGACATGAGTTTTGCACATGTCACGTTGCCACGCACGAACGCTCCCGCAGCCACGTGCAGCATCGGCGCGCCGCCCCGCTTCCTTCGCGCTGCGTCTCCTCACGCGCGTGACGCGACCAGTGACATTGCTGCAGCAGCCACGACGCCTACCGCCCTGTGCCGCGGCGCGCAACGCTCTTGGCGGCCAATGGCGCCGGGGCGCCGCGAGCGTGTGGGCGAGGCCGCCAACCCGGGGCCACCTGCAGCGGACTCACGTGGGGCCCCGTCAGCGTTGGAAGTCCAGCGCCAATGCGCTGCCGAAGCGCTTGCCAGAGCTGGCTTGCCTCCGTTCCCTCCATTGCCGCCAGAGGCCGTGTCACCATGTGGCACGATCAGCGATACCGCATCGCAAGCCACAGACCTGGCTTACCTTACTCCCCGCGCAGCAGGCGGCGACCTCACACCTCTGGCAGAATGTGGCGCCCACATTGCCCGATGCCCGAACACCAGACGAGGCGTCAAGCACCCCCGTGCCCGTGCAACCTCTGCCCGCGCAGGCGCGCTCCAGGTGGCAACGGGGGCCTCCGGCTGAGGGGCCGCTGCCGCCCACCAACTCTTGGATCTACATGCCCCTCCTCCTGGATGGGGCTGGGCTCTTGTGCCCAGCGGCCGCAGCTGGTTGGCGTGCCTGCGCGCCTTATGCGGTGCCCTGGCCCGCATTGGTCACCGCCTTACCCACCTCAGCGCTCAGGCTGCCGGAGGACCCCATTGCTAGCGTGCGGAGCGCGGGCGACGCCGAAGCAGAACCAGGCCGGCCGCCTGAGGACTGGGCGAGCGCGTGCCGGAGCAGCCCGCGCAGCCGCTGACGCTCACTGATGCCATTCGAGCTGCCGCAGGCGCCGATGGTTACCTCACTGCGGCTACGCAGTCCGCCTTCCTACAAGCTTATGGCGGAGTCGGTGTCGCAGCCGAAGCAGCGAACGCGCGCGCGCCGCCTTGCCCGCACAGCGCCGGCGCAACCCTCGACGTCGTCGCCGAGCGCAGGCACCACGCGCGCCCACAGCACCAGACGGTGCTTCGGGAAGCGTTGCTGCGGGAGAGGCACCCGAGCCTGGGGTGGACCGAAGCAGGGTGACCCGACATGTGACTGGCAACCTTCCATGGGCCGACGTGGCGGAGTTGCGGCGGCCTGTCCCCACCTTGCAGGACGTGCCGCCTTTCCTGCGAGCTGGCGTCCGCCGGGCTCTCGTGTTTGCGTTGCGGGCGATTCGCGACGCTGATGCCGCGGAGAACGCCCATGTCACTCCCGCCCGAGCTTGGTCCCTATTTTTGCTTATGCCGCGCATGATGGCGCGGCCGGGCGCAGGCTCTTGCTTGAGCGCGTCGACCGGTACGAGCGAGGCGAGTGGCTCGCGTTGCTGGCCGCCGCGCAAGGGGCGCGGTCCACAGCAAGCCGAGCGGAGGAAGACGCCGATGCAGCACTCCGCCAGCGGCGCGAGGCCGCGTGCCGGCTCGTCCGCAAGGGTGAAGTCAGCCGCGCCCGCCACCTGCTCACGAGTGGCACCTTGGCGCCGGGCGATGAAGCTACATGGCCCTGCAAAACGCCCCGCCCAAGCGCGCACGCCAGTCCCAGATGAGCTGCTCCACTGTCAACCGGAGGAGCCGGCCCTAGCACTGCTCGCGCCATTGCGCAGACGTTGCGCGAGGCCAGGCGCGGCGCCGCGTCGGGCTTGTCAGGCGCGCGGGCGGAACACTTTAAACTCCTCCAAAGCGATGCTGATGGCCTGGAGCTGCTCATGCACGCAGCATCCGTGCTGGCCCAAGCTGGCGGTCCCCTGGTTGTAGCGGCTGCCCTTGCCCTAGCTAGGATGACGGCGTTGCAGAAACCGGATGGCGGCGTGAGGGGTATCGCCACGGGAGATGTCTTTCGCCGGCTCGTGTCCAGGGCGTTGGCGAAAACATGGGCTTCAACTTGACGAAGCCACTCGTCCGTATCAACACGCGTTGAGCGCCCGGACAGGCATGGATGCCCTGGTGGCGCGTTTGCGCATAGCATTGGAGACGGACCCGGATGTGACGGTCGTGTCCCTTGATGGCCGCAGCGCCTACAACACAGTGTCGCGCGCGGCCTTCCTGCGCAAGCTACACCAGGTGGCCCCCGCCCTTCGACCGTCGTGCGCTTGTTCTACGGGCAGCCTTCTGTCTACTGCTGGTGGGACGCATCCGGGACCTGCTGCGACATACACCCAGCGGAAGGGTGCGAACAGGGCGATGCCCTGGCCCCCGCACTCTTTTCGCTGGGCCAGCATGATGGCCTCGAGCGGGCAGCAGCTGAATTGCAAGCGGGCGAGGAGCTGCTTGCATACCTGGATGACCTGTATGTCATCACCGGCTCAAGGCGGGCCAGGGAGGGCCTTGACCTCGTCGCTTCGCGCGTCCAAGAGCATCGCGGAATCGCGTCCAATGTTGGCAGGACGCGCGTGTACAATGCTGGCCACGGGGCGCCGCCGCCTGGAGTGCACGAGCTCGGGG